GAGTATTCCCCCCCCCCCCCCCGACCGAATTCAGTATCTCTGAATCGTCGGTTCACGATTACGAAGTCCTGACACTCTGGAAATCGGTTCTCCATGGGTTTCGTGGCTCGAAACGTTTTTCGTTGTATCTCTCGGTTGACTGGTAAGTTTATCGGCGTGCGATCTATTCGCGAGGGAGATTCGCTGGGTTTCCGGAAACGTTCGACGCTCAACTTTATTTAAATGACAATGCAGAACCGCGAAAATAATGGGTGTGGAGGTGGATGCGCTTTCAGCGCCAGTACCATTCAATGGGAGAAGAGGTCAGTGGTCAGTCGATTGTACAAAAGTTCTCGCTGACTCTTGGAAAGTTACCGACCTTGGCAGACATTTCATTCTTACAACTATCCGCCGTTCAATTAGCTCGGTTTTCGCGGATTCGCGTTGATGCTGTCACGCGTACCAAGTAAACGTTCGTCTGATCGCTTCTGGAAGATTTGATTCCGCAGAATCTGCCGATTTCAATCGAAATGCCCGCCGTTCGTTAAGCCTCGTGCCGCCGTCGACTCTGTGTGCTCGAGTTTATTTCGAATCGAGTTTCCATCGTGCCTAATTTAAGCCGACAAGTTGTATCGAGTCGATTAAGAAAGGAAGAAGTGCGTTCGAAAATAAATTCGAGACTCAAGGATCATGCGAATCCGCTAGGATTCGTCTGGCGGTGCGACGATGGCCTCCGACGGGCTTCCAAAACTCTTTCACTTACAGTAATGTTTCTAATTGACGCCCAGATTGACCACAGAAATGGACAATTTGGGAAGTGGAGATACGATTATTCGAGCCTTGCGGTTTATTTTTATAATTACAAATTGTCCACGATTATAAAAACGAGCCGCAAGGCTCGAATAATCGCGTCTCCTTTTCCCAAATTATACATTCTAGTGCACAATCTGAGCGTCAGTAAAGGAAACATTACAATAAATTCTCCGTAATTGACACTTAGATTGTGCAAAAGATTGAACAATTTGGGAAGGGGAGATACGATTATTCGAGCCTCGCGGTTTATTTTTATAGTTATAAATTGTCCATGATTATAAAAACAAGCCGCAAGGCTCGAATAATCGCGTCTCCTCTTCCCAAATTATCCATTTTCGTGGACAATCTGAGCGTCAGTGAGGGAGACATTACTGTATTTGGGAACGTCGCTATTTTTAGCGATAGAATTTTTTGAATAACTGATCCACGGAGTCTCTCTGATTCTAATCTGTCCGGTCACCTCTTCGGCCGCCTCTCCAGCTGCGAAGTCCGGTGAAAACGGAATTTAGAATTTCATCGAAGGAAACCGACGTTTGGCGTGGCCACGTGTCGGATCGTATTGCACAATCGAAGGTATTATGCCTATGTGGAGCATTATTGATACGAGGCATTGTGCCGCAATAACCGGTCCCTCTCGCGCTTTCCCCAAACCCAGAAGAGACCTCTTCGTCTTCTCTCGCCTCTTGGCCCGCACCCCGGCACCCTCGTCTCCAGTCTCCCAAGTGTAAACGAAGCGAACCGGCAAGTTTTCCCTGTCGATTTCACCATTTCGAATATATCCGACGATCGTTGCTTCTTTCAAGTTCACCGATTCCGAGACCACTCTCGGTTTCATCTCGTTTAAGATACGAATGAAAGCGTTCTGCATACCACACAAGGGGAATCGAAGATGTCCTAGATGGGGAACCAACCGGAAACTTGCTAATAGTATTTTTGTATAGCGTGCTGGTAGTAACCGTACGAAAAGAAATTCATTGATCTTTGAAAACGGTTAACCCTTTGCGGACCAAGCCGCCCGACGGGTATTGCCGTCGCTATGGACGACAGGTATTGGATATAAAATAAAAATGTTATAAGATATAATTATATTATTATAAGATTATAAATATGTGGAAAACTTCGCTGGTTTCCCTGGTAGCGACACAGAATGGCTGACTCGTCAAACTGAAATTCGTTCTGAACCTACGGTTAAATCGATAAATTTATATTAATAATTAACACTATGTCGTCCGCAGATCTTAGATATGATTCTTTTGTTTGACGCCGGCATAGTAGCTTGGAAATTTTAGATTAAAAAAAAAAATGTCGAAGATGACGGTAACGTAAATTCCTAAAATTAAGATATGTCGTCCAAGAATTTTCGCACTTAATTCTTAGTTAAACCAGCGCAATGCTATAGTTAGTTTTTTAAAATGGCACCAAAGCGGAACCACCGGCATACAATGGATAGTTTTTGCATGGCACTTTTGTTTGAATTTTAGATTTTAACAAAAATTTCGAAGATGGCGGTAATATAAATTCCTGAAATTAAGATAAATCATCCAAGAATTTTCGTACTTAATTCTTCGTTAAATAAGCACAATGCTATATAGTTAGTTTGCTGCCTTTCAACACCCAAGAAATATAGTGCAAATGTTATTTCAGTTTTTTAAAATGGCACCAATGTGGTACCACCGGCATACAACAGATAGTTTTTGCATGGCACCAGCGTGGTGCCACCGGACGGCACGGTGTTAATAAATTAATAAAAAAAAAAAACGGTAAAAAGACTTGGGCGGCTATTTGCCGACACTCGTCCGCAAAGAGTTAAATTACACGAGCGAACGGATTGTTTGCAGAGTGAACTATTCAACGATCGGATGTTGCAGATTGTAAATAGTTACCGAGAAGGAGAACGTGTACAAGAATCATGCTGAAACATTGGTTCGAAATCCACGGCCGGTTTTGCGCCGGGCATCCCCTGGAGGTGATCGTGTCCACTTTCACCCTAACGGCATGCATCCTGAACATGGAGACCGGAAATGGACAGCCACGGGACGAGGCTCTGCCAGTGACTTCGCACTGTCGGGCCGGTAGATGTAATTCGGACGTAAGCTGGATTATGTTACACGATTTTGTAGGATGTTGAAAAGAGTCTTTCCGCGACGCGTTAACCCATTGATTGCCAACTACGAGATATCTCGTAGTAAGCGTCTCTACACAAAAACTGCCAGCTACGAGATATCTCGTAGTGGGTGCTGCAAGTTTAGATTGGCTACAAACGGCTATTTGAGTTAGGAACTATTAGAAAGGATGAATGAAAAATGTATATAGTGTAGAGAACATATTGATTGTCAATAAAAAAAAATACTGTAAATGCCATTGCAAAATATTGTATCGGTAACTTAATATTATTATATTTTGTAAAACTTCGTGTTTTCTTTAAAATAAAACCGTGGCACCATATTGATGGCAACATATTGATTATCAAAAAAAAGATTCTGTAAATGCCATTGCAATATTATATCGGTAACTTAATATTATTATATTTTGTAAAACTTCATATTTTCTTTAAAATAAAGCCGTGGCACCATATTGATGGCAACATATTGATTATCAAAAAAAAGATACTGTAAATGCCATTGCAATATTATATCGGTAACTTAATATTATTATATTTTGTAAAACTTCGTGTTTTCTTTAAAATAAAACCGTGGCACCATATTGATGGCAACATATTGATTATCAAAAAAAAGATTCTGTAAATGCCATTGCAATATTATATCGGTAACTTAATATTATTATATTTTGTAAAACTTCGTGTTTTCTTTAAAATAAAACCGTGGCAACATATTGATTATCAAAACAAATACTGTAAATGCCATTGTAATATTATATCGTATTCTCTTTAAAATAATACCGTGGCACCCAGGGCAAGACGCGCTAAATTTGCGCGGCAGTAAATGGGTTAAGACGTTTACGATGGTTCAGGGATCGCGGATCCGACTGCAACAGCATATCGTGGAGAGATTCGTTCGACGCATCCTGTTGTTATCATTCGATCGAATCCTTAATAAATCTGTAATGATGTCTACTCGGTGTTGCCAGGATCTGAACGCAGCCGATATTATAGTAATGACGATAATACGATGTCTCGCGATACTCTTCACCTACCATCAGTTCCGAAATCTGCAGAAGCTGGGCTCCAAGTACATTTTAGGTGAGCACACGCCCCGAATCGTTGGATCCTAAAATCACCGGCTGGATCAAGATCGACGCGTTCCACGTGCCTGCAACGATCCTGCGCGGCTCGGCGTTATTTCTATAGCCGGATTTTCTCGCGGCATGCGTGAAAGCTTTCAGTGTCAGTGAAAGTTCCATAGAAAGCGACAGCGTTTCGTCGTCGCGGTAACAGGCGACGACATTTCGACGGTCGCGTCGTCTGCATGAAATCTAATTGCTAAAAATTCCGCGGACTTCTGGTACGCGGTGCCGCATAAGCAAACAATCTTTGTTATACTCTTGCACGCGAATGCGCGCGCGAGTATCCGAATTAACTTTCGATTGCTTTGTTCGTTTAGGTATCGCAGGCCTGTTCACCGTGTTCTCCAGCGTTGTGTTCACGTCCAGCGTAGTCAATTTTGGACGCAGCGATATCTCGGACTTGAAGTATGTTATGTCATTCGATTAGCTCCGCTTTCCCTTTCGTCCCCGTTGCGCGTAAACAGTGATTCCTCGTTTTTTTTTCAGGGACGCGTTGTTCTTCTTCCTGCTCATCATCGATCTCTCCAAGGCCGCGATATTAGCCCAGTTGGCATTGAGCTCCAGAAGCCAGGAGGAGGTGCGAGCAAACATCGCTCGCGGCATGTCCCTCCTAGGACCGACCATAACTTTGGACACGTTGGTGGAAACTCTGCTAATCAGTATAGGGTCTCTGTCTGGCGTCAGAAGACTGGAAATCCTGTGCGGCTTCGCCTGCCTCGGAGTCCTCGTTAATTATATCGTTTTTATGACCTTCTATCCTGCCTGTCTGTCGCTCATCCTTGAGGTAATCCCCGTTATTATCATGCGAACCCTAGCTTACGCACTCGTTGCTGCTTAAAACGGCACATTCGATAAAGCAACTAATGTAATGTAACTGCGAGGAGGACGATTACTGTGAGCGGCCTCGTATCTTCGGCTGATCTAGCATCTCTTAATCCTTAGTTAGATAACTTTACAATTTACAAAAAAAAAAGAAACCGATCTTTCTGCGTAAGATATAGTTTCACGTGTTACGTATCAAATATTTGTTCCTCTTTGAAATTTCGAGACCAAAATGTCATTGTACAAACCAAGGGTTAAGATTAGCAGCCTGTAAGCCGAGAGCGTCGCATTTTAGCGCAACAATCTCACATCACCATAATTTTTCAGCTGTCCCGCGGGACGAATAGCATGAAGCCTTTGAGCCCTGACAAGATCTTCATGATTCATCCATTGAACGAGGAGGATCAAAAGCCAAATCCGGTAGTGGAACGCGTCAAGTTGATCATGATCGCTGGCCTATTTGTGGTACATGCTAACAGGTAGCATATATTGTCCGGCTATAATTCTCTTGTTCGCCGAGCGTGCACGTGCTGGGTTGCCAACTGAGACGGATTCGTTATTTTGTACATCAGATACCGACATTCGTACGCGGCCTCCTGGAAGGGGGAAGCGACAAAATGTTATCTCTTATCTGCCCCTACCTACGTCTATGCTTTTTCTTTTCTTTTTTTTCACGAATTTGTCGACTTCTTGTTTGACGATTTTCTTGTGCCCAACATCCGCGGGTCAGGTTCAACTTTTTACATAGTAATACAGCTGTATGTTTAATTCATGGACAATGAATTTCCAAGAATGGAGATAGCATCGCGGAGGGGTTTGGACTCCTTAACCCTTTGGACGCTATGTTAGGAAGCAGTGTATTGCTCGGCGGTGGCTGGTTAAGAATGTCGGTAATTATTGATTCCTTTGCATTGTATCCGAGGACTAACTACTCTGTCGAAATAGTTCCGTGATCGGAGAGGACTGCATTTAGTACAAAATACGGAAGGACTCGTCGCGAGATTTCTTATATATGATTAACACGTATAACGAGCTCTATAATTTTCTTAATTTTAAGACCGGCCCATCTATAATGCACATATAACATAGCTTAAGTTTCTTTATGTCAGTTTTTATATGTCGCGCTTTTTATCATTATTACCGACGAAGATCTGGTGCAACTTTTCTCGCAAGTATTCGCGTGGCCGTCGACATTAGAATTAATTTCCATTGAATCAGCGTTAAAGATCAATGTCGCTTGCACTTATGCATGTAATTCATAAGTTTGGAGAATCGCATAAATACTGGCAGTTAAAATGTAATGCTCTGGTGTGTTGCAGCCGCTGGCCTTTTAAGAACGATGAAAACGACCACTCGGTGGAAGGCAAGGTTTCACCCACGAATTCTCGTATCGTAGCGAACGCTTACAACAAGACGGAGAGCCAGACTGAAGTTAAGGCGTACTTGATGAACTGGCTGTCGGTCAGCGCGGACAACATTATCATATTGATATTGCTACTCGCGCTGGCGATCAAGTTCATCTTCTTCGAGGACAAGGGCGACATCGCGAAGCAGTTGAGGTTCAAGGAGGAGGACGACACCGAAGAGAAGGCTGAGACCGAGTACACGGAACTCGTAGATACCGCTGCTATGGACGTTTCGTTGCGTCAACGGTTCGGAGAATCTCATCCCACGATACGATCCACTATTTTTCCTTTGTCCGGGGTTGGCGGTGGATGGATCGAGGTAGAAAATGAATCGCAGTTGGAATTCATCGACAAAGAGGTGCAAACCGACAGCAGACAGTCAAGCGTCGATTTGTCCAGCAGTAAAAGCTCGTCACCGCAGTCAACGGTTCCTAGACCCATAGAGGAATGTCTTGAAATATACAAGTCCGAGGTAGTTATGGCTGTTATTAGCCGGTCGATCTCGATAGACGGAAGTGTATTGTGATTCGGCAAAAGCATTGTTTCGTTTTTTGAAAATATTAAACGTGCCAAGGTCAAATGTCTCATTCTCTTTCGTGTTTGCAGCTTGGAGCAAGTGCGCTCACGGATGAGGAAGTGATCCAGCTAGTGAAACAGAAGCACATAGCTGCTTATCAGCTGGAGAAAGCCGTTGGGGATATGGAGCGCGGCGTGAAGATCAGACGACTGATAATTGCGGAGGCTGGAAAGTTCGTGGAAGACTTAGTGGATCTTCCGTACACGGAATACGACTACTCGAAAGTGTTAGGCTCGTGTTGTGAAAATGTTATAGGGTACGTGCCGATGCCGCTCGGTATTGCTGGCCCGTTGTTAATCGACGGTAAGTTCTACCACGTGCCGATGGCGACTACCGAGGGATGCCTGGTAGCATCCACCAATCGAGGTAGCAGAGCGCTCTTAAAATGTGGTGTAACGAGTCGTGTGGTGGCCGACGGAATGACTAGGGGGCCAGTCGTTAGGTTCCCGAATATCGTTAGAGCCAGCGAGGCGATGGCCTGGATGCAGGACTCAGAAAATTTTCAAAAAATGAAGGATCATTTCGATTTAACTAGTAGATTCGCAAGATTGTCCAAGATCCACATACGTATCGCTGGTAGACACTTGTTCGTTCGATTTGTGGCAATCACCGGCGACGCCATGGGGATGAACATGCTGTCCAAGGGCACGGAGAAGTCACTGCATACCGTCAAGGAATATTTCCCCGATATGGAGATCTTATCGTTAAGTGGCAACTTCTGTGCCGACAAGAAACCCGCTGCTGTCAATTGGATCCAAGGCAGAGGCAAGAGTGTGGTCTGCGAGGCGATTGTACCCGCTGACGTGGTCACTAACGTTCTCAAAACTTCGGTCCATGCTTTGGTCGATGTGAATATAAGCAAGAACATGATCGGTTCTGCCATAGCTGGCAGCGTAGGCGGTTTCAATGCCCACGCTGCGAACATTGTTACCGCGATTTACATAGCCACCGGTCAAGATCCAGCGCAGAATGTTGGTAGTAGCAATTGTATGACCTTGATGGAACCCTGGGGAGCCGACGGTACAGACCTATACGTATCTTGCACAATGCCAAGCATAGAAATAGGCACCGTTGGTGGTGGGACCGGTCTTCCGGCACAAGGGGCGTGTTTAGCTATGTTAGGAGTTAAAGGAGCCAACGCTAATCAACCTGGTGAGAACGCCAGCAGATTAGCTAGAATCGTATGCGCTACAGTACTCGCTGGTGAATTGTCACTCATGGCTGCACTGACAGCCGGTCATTTAGTCAAAAGCCATCTCAGGCACAACAGGTAAGGATAAGAAGAAATACACTTTCTCTCTGTTACTATGGTATACATCTCTGAGTAAATCTGGAATATGTATCATAATACAGAACAGAGGTGACAATATGTTTTTTCCGATAATAAATAATTTTAATGACGTTAATCACCTGTTTCAGATCAACTACTATGGTATCGAACGCATTGACTGTTCCTCAGACTAAAGTGGGAGATACATTGACTGTGCCAATAATGCAGCCTGTACAAAATGTTTGTAAGAAGTTCTTAGACAAGTCTTAGCCTTAATCGTACATAAACTGGTTCCGGTTCGATCTTGCAGTAGAATCTACGTACGTGACGTCGTACAACTGCTTCAGCGTAATATTCCAAAGAAATAATGTTTCGTTTATGTACGTGGAAGAAAATATATACATATATATATGTATGTATGTATGTATGTATGTATGTATGTATGTACCAAAAAG